GCCTAGAAGGTTTGTTTTCCTACTCTCCAAAATGAACACTTCACACTTTTGTCCTCAAACGACAGTAGCTCTCTCCCCTCCAGTGATGAGCTTGATTCATTCTTTGAGAAAATGAGAGTGACTGAGAGAACTTGCCTCATCCTTCCCCCACCCCACCTGACCCACGCCCTTTGTCTCACCTGCCTCCCTGTGCATGAGCCATCTTCCCTACTAGCTGAGGCTGATTTCTCTACCTGGCACTGGAGTCTACCCACTTCATCCCACCCTCCCCCCACCTCCAGGTCTTGGTTATTCCCATCAGCGTCAAACCTGTTTTAGCAACCCTCATCTCCTGTGCTCCTACCTGCCACAATTGCTCTGCTCACTAATCACAGCAAAGCTTGATGGCGCTGTCTACAAAGCCGCTGTCTGCATGCCTTCACATCTCGTTCTTATCGCAGCCGACTCAGTGGGACTGCACACAGTCACTCTCCCACCACATCATCTGTGACTTCCAAGATGCTAAACTGAATGGTTGCTTCTCTCTCTTCTCTTTACTTGATCTCCCAGCAGCTAAGTTAGAACTGATGGCTCTCCTTCTTTGTAACACTCTTTCCTTGGTTTTACAGAACATTCCATTCCCCTGGCTTTTCTGCTACCTCTCTGATGACTCTAGATTCCTTTGACAATTCTTCCTCCTTAACTTGACCTCAAATGTTGGAGTGTCCCAGGCCTCTTCTCTTTCCATACTCTCTCCCTAGATACTCGAGTCTCATAGCATTAAAAACCATCTATCTTCCAATGACTCCCCTGTATTTACCCTCCAGCTCTGATCCCCAAACTTTTATATCCCTGGCCTACTTGGATAGGATGTCTAAGGGGATCTCAACTAACATGACTAAAGTCTAATGTTTGATATCTCTCCCCAAACCTCTTCTGTCCCTTCCCCCTTTCCATCGCAATAAAAGGCACCACCAACCTCCCGGCTACTTAGGCTAACAACCTAGGAGTTCATGTTCACTTTCCATTCCCACCACCTCAGTACAAGCCTAGATGACTGCCCCGGAAACCCAAATGATGTCCCTGCTTCCATCCTCCGCACAGCCTCCAGAGTGATATTCTAAAACATAGGTCAGCGAATATAACTTTCCTATTCAAACCCTCCACTGGCTTCCCATTGCACTTAGACTAAAATCCAAACTCCTTCCAGAGCCTCCAAGGCCCTGTGTGATGGGCCATGCCTGACTCTCTGTTTCTGTTTCTGCCATGCTCAAAATTCTCCCTACAGGACACTGGCCCTCTTGCTCTAGCTCCTACCAGCAGAGCAGATTCCTGTCTCAGAGCCTTTACACTTGCTGTTTTTTTTTGCCTAGACTCATGGCTGGCTTCTCTGGGCTGAATATCATCACACCCTATAGAGACTGTCTGACCACCCAGAGTAAAGTAGCACTTCACTCTAAAGTCATTGCCATGTCTGGTTGTTCCTCGCCCCAACCCCAGCCTTACAACCATCTGAACTTACATTACTTTCTGCTTTCTTAGTTGTTTTCTGTCTCCCCTGCCTACTATAATGTAAGCTTCAGGAGGGCCCAGACCCAATGTACCTCAAAGACTAACCATACTGAGAACACAAGAGACACTCGGTAATTATTGGCTGAGTGAATACATACAGCGGCTGTGCACACAGACATATAGATGCTGTGGGGCCCAGCTGTCAGAGCCTCTCAGGAAATATTTACAGGCTTTGGAGACCCGCTTGCCCCCCCCCCTTTTGGGTGGGAGATGGGGTGGGGGAGAAAAACAACTTGTTGATGTAAGTTTCTTGTCAATTACTTGTACGTTTCATTCCTGCGCATGTGTGCTGGCACCTTGCAGCTATTGTCTAACCCACACCCCCCATTTTGGAGCTTGCTTTCTGGCCTCAGCCTGGGATGAAGAAAGAGTTGTTGCTGCGTTTATGCCACACAGCCTCGTGCCTTCTTTCAGCTGGGCATCTCACCACCCAGACAGTCCCTGATTGACACGCTTGGACCGGACAGATGCCCAGATTTGTTGTGCACTTTTCTTCTGGGAGTCACTGTCCCGCCATAGAATTGAGAAGAGAGCATTCCCTGTCAACACAATCCAGAAAGACGCAGACCCCGGCCCAGGTGAAACAGGCTGAAGGAGACAGAATACAGAAAGAAACCAGAAGCAGAGACACAGACCCAGGGCGAGCTCCAGAGAGTGACCTAGATAGATCGAGGTAGAGAAGGCCTAGATCCGGAGACAAAACAGATTCGGGCCCGCAGAAGCCCAGGCAACAGTCAGAGGCAGTGGCAGGAGGAGGGGTGCAGGGGGAGGCAGAGCACGCCCGAAGACAGCGGAAACCAGCGTGGAGAGCGGAGGAACTCCGCCACCTCCGCCCCGGCTCACAAGTGGCCGCGGCAGCTGGCGGGTGCCCCTGACCACCCGCAGGCACGACGCGTGCGGGATCAAAGCGGCCGGGAAGGGGCGGGCGGGGAAATGTCAGGAACCTGGAGGTGTGAGCGAGCTTCCCATGGGATGGCAGGAGCGTGGGAGCGCAGAATGACGGGAGGCAACAGAGACCCCGAGAGACGGCGAGAGATCCCAGAGACCGGGAGACACCAAGAGACCGAGACTCGGTCGCAGAGACGGAGAGGCCGGAGAGACCCAGAGTCGGAGAGGCAGAGACAACTAAAGACACAGAGAGCCCAGCGCAGAAGTTGCTAAGATACCTGGAAAAACCGTGAAAGATGCAGAGACACATGCCAAGAGGAAAACAGAGACATAGAAAGACCGTGAGACAAAAAAAGCCAGCACCTCTGGGCTTGGGGAAAAAAGCGCTCTTCAGAGAGAACAGGAGGTAACACAGACATCGAGGCGGAGAAATGGAAAGAAGAGCAAGGGAGTCAGAGCGCGTGGGGCGGGAAGACCTCGCTCCTCCCCCGCGGAGGGCCGAGAGGACCCCCGGGGCAGGGATCCGAGCGCTCTGTCCTTTCTCAGGGTCACGCCTGCGGAGGTGCAGGGGCCAGGGGCGGAGGGAGGGGTGGGAAAGGCAGCAGGAACCCCATGTTGGGAGGATGGGCATGTGAGGACGTAAGGAATCAAGGTTTCCATCCAGAACCTCAAAGTTGCATTGTGTCAAAAAGTGAAATACTAACATCTAGCCGAAATGTTATAGATGTTTCAAGTCAAATACTAATATCTATCTGAAATGTTAAAGATGTTTCTTAGGTTAGTAGACCTTCTCCTTTTTGCGGGGGGTGGGTGGGGGCAGGGCCGGCGGTAAAGGTATTGCATTGGCCGGGAATCGAACCCGGGCCTCCCGCGTGGCAGGCGAGAATTCTACCACTGAACCACCAATGCAAGCAACAATTGTGCTACCGTGGTACTACTAGAGTTTGTAAGAGGTTGTGGCGGCGGTAGTCAAGCTGACCAAGTAGACCAGGGGCCCGGCAAAGGAGTGGGCCTGAATAGTCGATGTGGGTGGAACACCAGGCCATCCTTCCTCTAGCCAGGATCCGGCCACCCTGCCATAAAGTCGTCCCATATGGCCAGGGGCGGCCCCACACCCGGGTGCGAACTGCCCGGAGTCCCCAAGCCTCGCGTGCAGGTGAGAAAAACTCAGATTCCCAAGAAGGGGGGTAGTGGGGGCTGCTGCGGCCACACATCTGCGCTCCCATTTGGCACAGGTAGGGGGAGGTGGAATGTGTTGAGGGCCCTGAACCCAAATGGAAGAGCCCTCCCCAAGGTCTGTGTTCCTTCGGGCTCGGGCCTTGGCAAGGCAGTCTTTGTGAACAGCAACAACAAAAACAAGGTGTGGAGAGGTATTGGAAAGACTTGGAGGAGCCAGGCGCATCCGTCTCCGACTCCGCACCTATCTTTGGACTAGGTCTGCAACTTTGTCTTTATGTCTCCTTGTCCCTGACACTCTTGCTGTCCATTTAAGTCTCTGATTTTATCTTTTCAGGCATTTTGTCCTGAAGTTTCCGAGTGTTCATGCATCATTCTACAGAGGGTCATGGTCTTGGTTTGAGATGGGTATTGATCCTTTTTTGTTCCTTTAAGAAAACTGCCTGCTCCCTGCTCCCCTACAGTCACGAGGGGCCCCTGGGGGCAAGCAGAGTGAGCACACTTGTGTCAGGTATTCTGGCAGCCATATGCCTGAGTCTTCTATCGCTTTGAATCAAACATTTCTAAGTGGAAAGATCTCTCCCCTCCTACCCGCGCTTCAAAGCTTTGCTTCTGTCTTCTTTGAGGTTCCTCCGCCCCAGTCCAGCCATCATCCCTCAGGATGATCCTTTAACAGAGCACCTACTTTGCTCTGATTCTATAATAGCTACTAGATAACACATCTTTTTTCCATTAGATCCTACAGGGATGAGCTGGGCCTCTACTGCATATCTTAGTATAAATGGTCCAAGCCCAGTCCAAGTAGTAGCCAGTGCTCACCAGCGTGAGTGATCATTGCGCCTCCGGACTCTAGTGAGGACCGAGTCCTTTCCCCTGTTGGGGGAATTGAATGTGACTGCCTTAGATCGAACAGAGCTTCTCTTCCACCTACAGAGAGAGCCCCAGTTGAATTAGACGGATTTACCTCGCACACTCAGGTCGTTCCCTATCTCAGGCAGGAGGTGAGTTTTTTGGAAGATGTAGAAGATCCAGCTTGGGGGCTGAGAGGTGCTAACTTTTGTTGTACGGTCAGTGGGGGTACAGTGACCTCAGAAGAAAGCTGCAGTTCTGGGAGGAATTCTGAACTTTACTCCTGAGTTGTGTCCCCAAATCACTCAAACTCCCTCTCCTCCTAATAAACTCTTCCCTTCAGCTGGGTCCTGCCTCATTATACAGCCTTATGGTCCTTAAACCAGATGGTGCTGCACTGACCCCTCATTTCCCACACTCCTAGGCCAGTTCCATTCCCTCCCCTCCCCCTTGCGCTCCTCCCCTTTCCGAGAGCCTCGTGCCCCGGGTCGCGCCGGACCGGATCCCGGGGCCTAAGGGGGCGGGTCCAAGGCCTCTCCCCCCACTCACCCGGGAACCTGAGAGATATAAGGCACAACGTGAGCAGGGACTCGTTCCACAGTAGGGTCCGGAGGAGCGATGGTCACCCGGGATCGAGCCGAGAATAGGGACGGCCCCAAGGTGAGAGGCGGGAGAAGAGGGAGCAGAGGTCCCTGGTCCGGTCAGGGGACCACGTCTCTGAGACCGTGGGTCAGGGAAGAGGCTGGAGACGCTGGGCTGGAAGGGGGACAGTTGCGCAGGGGACCCAAGGACCCAGGAGCTGGAGAGGAAGCTGCAAAGAATGAAGAAGGGGACAGGGTCAGAGCAGGACCTGCGTGGGCAGCAGAAGCAGAGGTCTGGGGGTTGGGTAATGGGTTGTTGGCACCTTGCGGCCTGGAGGGTGTGGGAGGGGGCTGGAGTTTGAGTGAAGTAAGCAAGAGGAGCTCAGAGCTAAGGGAGGAGGGTGGAAACAAAACGCGGAGATACGCACTTGCTCCATGCGGACTGGCCCAATGGACACTGGTTCCACAGGCCCAAGATCGGGTGGGAGATTTTAGAACCAACTGAGAACCGTGACGGCTTAGACGGGTTAGAAGGAAGGAGGCGCGGTCGCGCTGGGTATCTCCCTTTCTACACTCAGGGCCGCCAGCTCTGAGTCCGGCACCTTGCGGCCCACGTGTCTGGGCGCAAAGAGGGCCCCCAAAGTTCTCCACTGAGACAGAGAGAGACTGCACGAGACGGAGACGTAGAGAGAAAAGAGGAGAAGGAGAGACACAGAGAGGGGAGGAGGGAGGACAAGACAGAGAGGAGAATGCAGAAGACCCGGGAGAGAGAGGAGGCGAGCTACAGAAATTGCCCCTAGGGGCATTGGGAGGGGGAGCGGAGAGGGATCGAATGGGCCTGGCCCTAGGCTCTCAGGGTTCTTGGGGGGAAGGGGTGGAGGCGGGACTATCCCTGCGGCGAGATCCAGATGCCCGCGCGGCCGCGCTGAGTCTTGGTCCGGTCGGCCCGCTCTTCCTTTTCTGCTGGTCGCAGATGCTGAAGCCGCTTGTGGAGAAGCGGCGCCGGGACCGCATCAACCGCAGCCTGGAAGAGCTGAGGCTGCTGCTACTGGAGCGGACCCGGGACCAGGTCAGTCCTTCCGCCTCAAATATCCCCTCCTCGCGTCCCAGGGCTTCCCACTTGGGTGGGGACTTATGCTGCGTTGGCGACCCTGGCCCCAAGGATTCCTGACCTGAGTCCCGCCCTTGGAATCCCATCCCAGACCCCCTCTTGCTCTAAGAACGCGATCTTCGTGGCCACCCCTCGGGTCTGTAAGTCTCACACCCGGCTCTGTAAATTTCACCCCCAGGGTGGGTCAGTAGCAACCTCTGTGTCTGCAAATTCTCCCCCCAACCCCAGAACAGCCAGCATGGTGGTTAATTTCACTCAAATGGGTTTGCTATTTCAAATCCTCTCCTCACACTGCGGGGTTGGGTTCATCCCCCGGGGTTGGACAGTTTCGTCTCACGGTGGGCGAGGACCATTCTTGGTCACCTCCACTCCGCATTCGGTAGCGCGCTCTGTGGTCAGCGCGCAAACGCGATCCGGGGGCACCCCCAGCTCCCGCATCCCCTCTCCCTTCTTCCCCCTGCCACTTTCCCCCTCTCTCCCCACCCCTGTCTGTCTTTGCACCCTCCCCTCCTGTCTGTAGAACCTCCGGAACCCGAAGCTGGAGAAAGCAGAGATACTGGAGTTCGCCGTGGGCTACTTGAGGGAGCGAAGCCGGGTGGAGGCCCCGGGTACAGCGCGGGGGTGGGGCAGCGGAGGGAGGGAGGGGGGGATTCACCGCGGCTCGGGCCGGGGTAGATGGGGCGGACCCTGCCGAGGACGGTGGGCTTGGGGAGTGGCAGGCTGTCCTCCGAGGCGAGGTTAATAACACCCGCGCGTGTCTGTCTCTGTGTCTCCCTCATTTTCTCCCTCTGTCCGTCCACCTGGCTTCCTGTCTCTGTGCGTCTGTCGGGCCTTGATATCTCTGCGCCCCGCCCCTTCCCTTACCCCTGTTGGGCCCCTGCCTTGCCCGCCCGTCCTCCCGCCGGCCGCACCGGCCTCGGCCGCTCCAGGGGTCCCCCGGTCCCCAGCTCAGGACGCCGAGGCGCTCGCCAGCTGCTACTTGTCCGGCTTTCGCGAGTGCCTATTTCGCCTGGCGGCCTTCGCGCACGACGCCAGCCCCGCCGCCCGTGCCCAGCTCTTCTCCGCGCTGCACGGCTACCTGCGCCCGAAGCCGCCCCGGCCGGAACCGGTAGATCCGAGGCCCCAAGCGTCGCGCCCACCGCTGGACCCCGCCGCCCCGGCGCCTGGCCCGGCGCTGCACCAGCGTCCCCCAATGCACCAGGGCCCCCCTAGCCCGCGCTGCGCCTGGTCCCCGTTCCCTTGCTCTCCCCGCGCCGGGGATTCAGGCGAGCCGGCGCCCCTCACCGGACTGCTGCCGCCACCACCGCCGCCTCACAGACAAGACGGGGCGCCCAAGGCCCCGCCGCCCCCGCCGCCCGCTTTCTGGAGACCTTGGCCCTAAGCTTTGAGGGGTGGGGGCGGGGGCGGGGGCGGAGGCTGGGGTTAGGGTAGAGACTCCAGCCCGAGGGCAGCAGAGGGACCCGGGCGTCGGGGAGAGGAGGTGTTGGGGAGGGCGGCGGGGCGCGCGGGCGCAGCGCGCGGGTGAGATGTGGTTTATATTAGAGTATCTATATAAATATATATTTCCCTGGTTCCTGTCCCTTTTCCCTGCCCCCCTCCTCCCCTTGCGTCTAGGATTGTACCCTTTCTGCCCCCGGCCCAGCTCCTTCTCGAGTCCCTAGTGCATGGAATAAAGTGGTTATTAAATCCCGGTGTGTCCCCGAGCCAGGGGCCTGCCTTTATCTCGGCGTCCACGCCCACTTTCCCTCCCCTTCTGTCTCCTGCCCCCCCCCAGTCCTGCTCTCCATGGCCCAAGCCCCGGGGCAGACAGGTAAGTAAAGAAGAGAGCAGAGAGAATGGGGTTGGAACTGAAAACAGGTGGAAAACAGAGATAGGGGAGAAGGGGTGGGATCCTGAAACAGAAAGGAAAAAGGTGAAATAAAACCGACTCTGGTGGGATTCGAACCCACAACCTTTGAATCACCTGCTGAGCACTAGAAGTCCAATGCGCTATCCATTGCGCCACAGAGCCATCTAGCGGGCGGCGGCGTCTAACGGCCTACGGGTACTAGAAGGGGAAAGGGGCACCGGAGGGACAGAAGTGTGAGCGAATTGGGTGGGAGGTGCCAAGAGTGCTTGGTTTGGACTTCAGAGGCCTGCCTGGGAGAGGTAGCTACAGGCGCAAAGCAGGTGAGCCAGATGGCAGTGCGGGCGCGCATGGGTGGAAGAAACAGGGAGAGAGAGAGCAACCGAATATGAGCGTGAGGGCGAGTACAGAGCTCCGGCTGCCCGCTTGGGAGATGCCTCCAATCCAGGAGCACCCCACTCCCAAATGTGGGCCCACCCTTCAAAATAAACTTGTTTTGCTGTAAAGTTCTGTGTGTTTGTTATCTTTGGTCTATTTGCTTGGCTATTCGCTGTTCCGCGGTCCTGAGTCTCGATAGTTTCTAAAGACCAAATGCAATACAATCATCTAGCCGCCTTCTCCTCTCTAGTCTCTTAGGAGGGTTGCAGAGACACCCCTATTCCGCCCAGGTAGCGTGGCCGAGCGGTCTAAGGCGCTGGATTTAGGCTCCAGTCTCTCCGGAGGCGTGGGTTCGAATCCCACCGCTGCCAGACCAGAGTTTTTCTCGTGATCTCTGCACCCTATAAAATTCATAAGGGATGCTTCTGGGATGTTCCTTGGTTTTATGAGGACTCCTGGTAGGTGCCTCACCACTGTCTTCCCGCTGAGGCATTCCAAACAGGTCCTATATCTGCATCTTAGCCGCAAACCAAGACCTGATGGGAACTGACGAAGTAGCCTTCATTTCTGTAAAGCTGATCTTAATATTCATGTAATATGTAAAGTTATTTTAACATATTCTCAAATAACGTTTTTATCTCTCAAAATTAGCGCAATTTGCTATTTATTTAAGCGATTTACTGTGTTCTCACAGTGTGCTACAGGCTCCAATTTCCTACTCTGAAAAGCTCAAAGACTAGCATCTAGTTTTTTTTTTCTTTACAGATCCTCGGATTAAAAGGGAATCTCATATATAAAACATTCATAATTTTTAATAGAACGTATACCGACACTCAAAACAAAATACAAGGTTCCACCGAGATTTGAACTCGGATCGCTGGATTCAGAGTCCAGAGTGCTAACCATTACACCATGGAACCCTTCCGCGCAACCCTTTCTAAGAGCATATATTACTGATTTTCCTATTTTGCGTATCCACTCTTCCTTTCTCAGAAGATGGAAAAAAAACTGTTGGATAAGGTAGACACCGCCATTCAGCTCTTGAAATACGAACTGAGGTATACTCTAAGTGTAAAACACAAACCGTACTTAGAAGACAGTACAAAAAAATTGTTAAAATTTAATTAATAGTTTAAAAATATTGATTACATGTTAAAATACTAAGATTTCGGATATATCGGGTTTAATAAAATATATTAATAAAATCAATTTCGACTGATTTTTACTATTTTTAATGTGGCTACTAGAAAAATTAAATTAGTATATATGGCTCTCATATGTACTGCTCTAAAATGTCTCTACTTTCCTTACATTGTTATTCATTCTACCTTCTGGAAATTAAAGCCCTGACACATTAAGTATAACAATCTTTTAAAAACAAAGAATAATACTTTCTTTTAGCTTTTCATTTGTTTTTTTCGAAGGACTACAAATATGTATTACTTGTACTCTAAAGAATCAAGTTCAGCTGGAAAAACAGTAGACGCCCGAACAGGGACTTGAACCCTGGACCCTCAGATTAAAAGTCTGATGCTCTACCGACTGAGCTATCCGGGCTCTCCTTCACGCTCCTCTCTTGCTGTCTATAAGAGTATCTTATTTTCGAAAGTCCGATGTCGCAAAATTTACAGGGAATTGTATGCATACGTGCAAAGGACTCCCGCACAGTCCTGGAAGAAGCAAGAGAAGCCAGGCGACCAACGGGTGATCGCGCTTCTTGTGCGTACTCGAAGGATCGAGTACAGCTCCCACCGAGTTTGTGACACTAGGGTCTAGCGCCGCGGAGGCTGGGACGGTGCGATGCCGGGACTGGCCGCTCGGGGCCGCTGCCGGCTGCCGGCTTCCGTCGTGGGGAGGATTCTCTCCGGTCTGGATGACCTAAATCCCAGACACCCCAGCACCACCGCTTCCGCCCACCGCCCCGAAGTCCGAGGGCGGGCCCGGAGCGGAAAAAATGCCACGTGGGGCCTTCAGACGCAGTGCTCCCGGGGTCCACTTCGGTCCCCTGACGGTCCCCATTCCAAGAGCGAGATTGAGATCCGGCGTGCCAGACCGGGCCCACAGAAGTCCGGGCGTGGGGACGGTGGTGGTGGTGGTGGTGGGTGACAGGAGAGTTGTTTCTGATCCCCATGCAGTATGTAGGAATGCGTGTGCGGCTCACCTGCGTGTGGCTGTTGTCACGTGTGATTTATGACTGAGTGTGGTTCACTTGTGTAGTGATTCACATGAATGATTCACAAATAGGAATGTGGGTGCTCTGTGCCCAGTTGTGGCTGAGAGAGGAGGGAAGGGTCTTGTGGAGTAGGCAGACGGACAAGGGCCCCAGAGCACAGTGTCCCAACCATACTTGCGTCACCTATACTCCCTGTCTCTTTCTCAGCATTTGGTCCCTCCCTTTCCAATGAGACCCAGGCTCCTGATATCCATCTGGGTGAGCCCTGTCCTGCCAGCCAGAGGGACCGGCTGGGCCAGGGGCAGGCAAACAACTATTAGGGCGCAAGTGTGGGCGGGGAGAAGGAGCCTGTAGTGAGCAAGGGCACAGGCCGGGAGCTTCGGAAGAGACAGAGCATCCTGGAGAGAGCTGGGTCTTTCCTCAGAGGCCCACTCTGTCCCCTATATCCCCTATTTCAGAGGCTCAGTAGCCCAGCAGCCCAGTCCTGCCCTGCCTGCCGCTCATCTCCAGGCCGGCTGCTGCTGTAGCTAACCTTGCTGGAGGGCATCCCTCCTTCCTTCTCGTCATGGCCGTGTACCGCGTGCGTGTGACCACTGGCCCCTACCTGAGGGCCGGCACACTGGACAACATCTCTGTCACGTTGGTGGGCATGTGTGGTGAGAGCCCCAAACAGCTGCTGGATCGCATGGGCAGGGATTTCGCCCCTGGATCGGTGAGTACAGAGGGGAGTGGGTGGCGCGACCTCTGAGGTGCAGGGCTCTCAGGGGACCCCACAAGAGGGGAGGGTCTTCCCTCCAGGGCTCATCAAATCCAACAGAGCTCAGGATGTCGGCCCTGACCAACTCATCATCCCTATTTTAGACCCTGTCTTTCCTGAGGATGATAAACCCTACCCAGGCAGGGCTGTGAAGGAGCCTGGGCAGGGAGTCTGGAGATTCCACTGTCTTCCTAGCTCGTCCTCTCATAGCTGAAAGTGGAATTTGGGAAAGTCGCTTGAACTCCCTGAGTTTCCATTTCTCTGGAGGGGATCTGCCTGCCTCTCTCTGCCCGGTCCCAGGATTGTTTGCCGGTTGGTCTTGGGGTGGGGAAGTGGACCACCAAAAGGGCTAGTGAAATCCAGAACCCACCCTGCTTGTGGTAACCGTGGTTGCTCCTGCCTGGATGAAGGAATGCCTTTTTCTAATTCATACAAAGGCACCGCATGGGTTAGAAGCAGCTCAGGTTTCTATGCCACAATAGGTGTAGGTATAGATGCACTTTGCAAGGTGCAAGGACAGCCTTGGAAGTTCCTTGCCTCTCACCTTGTTCTCTTGGTCCCCTCAGGTGCAGAAATACAAGGTGTGCTGCTCAGCTGAGCTGGGTGAGCTCTTGTTGCTGCGTCTACACAAGGAGCGCTTTGCTTTCTTCCCTAAGGACTCCTGGTACTGCAGCCACATCTGTGTCAATGGCCCCGATGGTACCCTTTCCCACTTCCCCTGCTATCAGTGGATTGAGGGCTACTGTACCATAGAGCTGCGACCAGGAACAGGTGGGCCAGAGGCAGGGGCTGGCCTGTGCTGAGAAGGCATGTGTTGGATTAAGGGCGGGGTCTCCCAGAGCCCAGAGTGTAGGGAACAGGGTTGGGGTTGGGGTAACAGGAGTTCAGGACTACCAAGTAGATGCTTTTTGAAAAAAGTGAGCCTCTAAGGCCTTGAAATGCAGGGGCTTTCCAGGCAGTATTTACCCCTCTGGAGACACACAGAGACTAGACATGCACTTATGTACACTCACACCACACAGACACAGACACAAACACACACAGATGGCAGTTTGCTTTCTGTTGACTCCCTCTGCACTTCCCCAGAGTGAATTCCTCTGGAGCCTAGAGAGGAACTAACCTGCAAGCTTAGTTGGATTTCAATAGGTGGAGAAACCCTGAATGTTGAGAGAATTTAGCTGGAAAGGCCCTGTCCATTACTACTGGCTTTTCTGGTGCAGATGAAGTCCCTTGAGGTGCTGTTAGGATTCCTTCTTGAATTCGGGCCTTTCAAGAATGCTGGGCTAGAGCTCTTTCAGCCTCTGGACCCCATATCTCCTGAGCTATCTGGTCTGGAGAGGCAAGACTAGGACTAGTCCAAGGTTTGAGATGAGTCTTAGGGATGAGAGATGCTGTTCTAGGTCAAGGTGAGGTGAGTGAACATTACCCCTTGGCCCATAGTGAGTTCTTCATAGGCCTTACTCTGAAACCCCAACTGTCATAATGGTGATCCATTCATCACTTCACAAAATATATTTGTTCATCAGTCATTTGTCAAGTGCATGCTATATGCACAATGCCAGCACCATGCTAGATGCTGGGAATACAAAAAATGAATACAGTGTGACTTCGGCCTAGGAAGTTTATAGTCTTGGGAAAGAGACAAACATGAAAACAATTAGGAAGATTGTTATAATTTGGGGGTAAGGTTGTCCTGAATCCCTTCTACTAATGAATGCACAAAGAACATGGAACACCCATGTCACTGAGGGATTGGGTTTAAGGGTTAGGGGGTTCAGGCAAGCTTTGTTGGAGATGTTGTTTGAAAAAACGCTTATATGATGAGTTATTTTTATTCCCCACAGCAAGAACTATTTGTCAGGACTCTGTTCCTCTCCTTCTGGACCACAGGAAACGAGAACTCCAGGCCCGACAGGAATGCTACTGGTGAGGGTGACTTAAGTTGACTTCCTTCCCATCTTTATACTGACCTCAGACTTAATCACAGTTACTAACTCTGACATCAGTTCCAACCTTGTGGGTCCAACTCCAATCAGGACCATTATTTAACCCTAAACTCAGTCTAATATTGACCTTGAGTCCAGACCCAGAATACCAGTATTAATAATTGTCCCAATACCATCAATGAATCCACACTCTGCCCTAGCTGCCCTTGATGTGACCAAGTTATCAGACATGACCCTAATATTGATGAATCT